CTCCCACTGACTTTCCCAAAAAGCTCATCAGCCATCGACATCACAACACTACCACATACCTACACATCTTGCATCAAATGTTCAGTTAATGTTATGTGCAGATATGTTGACCGCGCCAGTAAGAACACATCTTCTATCATGGCAATTGGCGACATGTCATGAGGATGTTCTCATCTTACTTTACAACACCACATCTACGTCCTCCTCCGCCAAGAGAGACGCATTGTTATTTCCCAAGTAGCTAGCCAACCCTGCTCCACCTTTTAGACAATTTCTCTTCATGTAGCCAGTTTAATCACAGTTTTAACAAGTTGTTTTTTCCTCATAGAGCTACCTTTCTTCCCCTTTTCAGTTACATGCACTGCATCGTCAAATGGAATATTCTATCCCCCTAATCTTCTTTATTCAGAGATCAAGTTGCTTGTTACTTCTGCGAAACTCACGATTTCTTTCCCATATATCAAGATTGGCTTGATACATTCATAGATAGATGGAAGAGACCAAATAAGTCGTAGTGCCTTACCCTCATCATCTATCTTCTCTCCAATAGACTCCAATTCTGAAACAATCTTGTTGAGAACACTCAGATGGTCTAAGATTTTCGTACATGCCTCCATGCGCATGAATGAAATTGCTCTTTCAGGTATAACTGATTTGAGAGACTCTTCATTTGATATAGTTCTTCTAACTTCTCCCCTAGTTCCTTTGCAACAAATATTTCATGAATATTTGTAAGATTTTTTAGCTAGACAAAGATGTATTATGCTTCCGGCCTTCAAATCCAATCTTCCCAATCCTTATTGCACATACTGGATTCAACTTCCTTGCCAAAACTCTTGGTTGATTTTCCTTTCAAAGCCTTGTACAATCTAGCTTGAATAAATAAATCCCTAATTTGTACTTTCTACAAGCCAACATTGATTCTCCCGTGAAATTTCTTCACGTCATATTTTTCTGTTGCTCCAATACTCCAAACCACCTGACGCTCTGATATCACTTGATGAAAATCTTACGTCCATTCCCTTTATTTCTATTTATCCTCAGGATATTTTGTTATTCAGAAGAATATTAACAAATAGGAAAAATAAAGAACATAATGCACAAATTAAACAGATCGTCAAAACTTTTTACTGTATGAAAATTGTTATAACTATATAAAATTTCACTTACCAACCCAATTCCCAAGTACTACAAAGAAAAATAAACCCAAATTTCACCACACCTATTTCTCTACTCTTTGTACGAAAAGTCTCAAGATGCTAGGCTCACAATATTTTCCTCTCAGATCAACTCGTTGGCCACACCCAAAATAATGAAATACATCCATTATTTATAGGATCAATAACCAAGTAGAAGAGTTTAATTTAAATTCAAACAAGACTCCTTTAATTCAACAAGGATTCTTTTGTGTGCAAAACTCCAAAATCAGCTATAAATTGGAGACCAAATTCTACAAGGATTCTGCTCTTGACTTCCATTAGAAGTCTTCCATACAATAACTACATTTTATTATTTGCAATAAGTCTTCTAATTTTTGACTTTTGAGACAATTACCCAACAAATGGCTCATTGCAAAGAAGAAGAAGAAAGATCGACTTTTTTCGAAAGGCAAAAACCCCTCTAAGCTGTGACTATGCTCCTTCTTTTCAATCCATATTTCCCATCTTCTCGCTATAAGTCGTGAGTTAGTTCGAAAGGCAAAAAACCATCAAAGAAGAGTTTGCCTGTGTTTTGTTCTTGTTATGAAGTGAAGGGAAGAGATCGTTTTTGAGAGGATTTCAAGGGTTTTAGAGAGTGGGAAACAGTGGATTACTTTGATACCAAATTGAAAGAGAATGGGGGTCGAGATACCTAATTGTTTTGTGAAAACACTGCTTATGATTAGATTATTCATGTGATTTTGCTGTTGAAAACGAAAGAGAAATTGGGAATTGAACCCTTGCTTGTCTTGTATAGAACCCCCTACAGATTTTGGGAGGGTTTTATTAAAGAGGAAATTTAACAAAATGTCCATTTTTACCTAATCATTTGTAAAAATGTCCACAATTACAAAAATGTCTAATTTGGAAGAATTTAGACCAAAATACCCTTATTAACAATTTATAATTCCATAGTAAGACAAAAAAATGGATATTTTTGCAATATTGTTATTAGCCAATAAAATCTTGACACATATCCTGTCCTATTTATTTCAAAAAGTATACATGTCGAATCACAATAAATGCTATGTTTTTCATTGATTTATAAATGTCGAGACGATATTTTTAAATGTGGAGAAATGTCATGTTCAAAATGAAATGTCATTCTAGACAAATGAAACAGTGTTTAAATGTCGAGAAACATTATTTTAATGTAACTTCTCATGGAAGCCGCTTCTCAAAATTGGTGACAAATTGATAAAAAAATCAAATGTGATAATATCATTTCAAAATATAGCTTTTCATTAAGGGAATAATAGACAAATTAGTACTAAATTCAAATGAGTTGACACTTTTCAATTATACCCTTAAAATTGGACATTCTTAAAAATGCCTCTTTATTAAAAAGAGAAATAAGAAATGATGTATTTGCTTTTTCTAATTTATCAATTTTCTCCATTTTTATTGGGATTTAACAGCAAATTTGATGGATCTTAACGATAGGGATTTTTCTCACAAAAATGTTTTCATGATTTTAAATAGGTACAGTGGTATAATGCATATGAAAACATTTATAGGGAATTTTTTTTTATTAATTCTAATAAGAGGGTGTTTGACATCAATTTTTACGGGAGAATAAATTTTAGAATAGTAGATTTATGGAGGATGTGCGGATGAAAAATAAGGAATTTTTTTATTTATGTGTAATATTATTTTAATGAAGAATTTGTGGTTAAAAAAAAGAAAAATATATTTTGATAAAAATGAGAATCAAATGGAGTCTAAGCCGATGTTTGAGCCCCATTTTTTTGAAAAAATATATTCTTAAACAGTATTTTGACATCATTTCAACACACATTCTTCAATAAAATAATATTACAGGAAAATCTAAAAATTTTTCTTATTTTTTAACCACATATTTCACATCATTACACTATTCAAAAACACATTTTCTTGACAAAAATGGAGCTCAAACAAGGGCTAAAGAATATAAATAAGCTCGACCCGGTTCAACCGCTTGTCCGGTTTTGCAAGAGCTCGTCCATGAATCCACGTGCAAAGTGACAACAGGAGCAGTTCACTGCTGCAGCCTGCTTCTGCCATGTCAGCTCTTCTCCTTGGTAACGTAAAATATATAATAATTTAACCCGGTTTCGAATACCACCAATCGCAACGGTCAGATACGTTCCATCCCTTAATCTCTGCCGTCCGATTCCTTAACCACAATGTCAAAAACTCATAACAGAGAGATACATACTCAAACCAAATACTAATGCCTGTATAATAGAGAGAGAATCGAGGGTGCACCAATGCAGTGACACAGCTGTGGAATTTTCAGAGAGAGAGAGAGTTTTTGATTTTTGAATGTAACCGTTAATACATACATAGACGTACATTTTATGCCAGTATAATATTCTAGAGAGAGAGAGAGAGAGAGAGAGAGTTATGCCAGTATAATATTCTAGAGAGAGAGAGAGAGAGAATAATATTGACTAGTGAGACAGGTCTGACATACATTTTCTTCCTTCAGAGAGTAAAGGGAAAGCGTTTTGATTTTTGAATGTAACAGAGTGTTCTCTCTTTCTAACCATTGTCTCGTTGTGTTAAAGCTCGAACACTTTCCAATGGTAAGCTATTTTGAAATTTTTGAAAATCACTAGTCTACTCCAGATTCTTCTCTGTTCTATTTACTGGGATACGTTTGTTACCCGGGGGTTTACAGCTCCACAAGTCAAAATTCTGGGCTTGCAGTTTTCAGCAAGATTTTTCGAAGCTCAATTCTTCAAGTGAAGTGTAACCTATGTTAGCAAAGATTTTTAGAAGTTTAAATCTTTAAAGTAACCCTTTTTAGTGGAATTTTTTGAGCTTCAAGTCTATATTAGGTTGCTTTATCGGAGAAAACATGGTTTTACCTTCTTGTTTCTGAGTCTTTAAGGTTGGTTATAAATAAGAATTTATATTGTTTCATCTCAAAAATTTTTGTGATAGAATTCCAATAGAAGTCTTGTTTACTCATTAATAGAATATAGTTGTTTGTGATTGTGATTTTTTGCTTGCGCAATGCTGAAGCACTAGTGGTGTGTAGTGCTGGCTGATAAAGTTCAATTTTTGAGTGCTTTGAATGATAGGCAAAAGACAAACAGAAGAGACTTGAGGCATTTATTTTTCTTTCTTTTGATTTTTTGGGCATTTTATATTTGGAATATTCTTTGTTGGGTTTTCGGTCCCACATCAGAAATTTGAATACACTCCATTTGTGTACAGCTGGAGATGGAGACCCCATCTTCTCTTCAAAGCAAAGTCTTTTTTCCCCTAATACACTGTATCCACAAGGATGAATGGATGATGATCAAATTGGATTTTGAATTTTTTTTTTTTTTTTTTTTTTTTCAAAAATGAGATTTGTGGGCCAGATGCAAACAATCGTTTTGATAAATTTGGGACTGAATATTGAGTTTTTTCGTGCTCCGACCCCCCAGCAGGTAATTTAAGTGTTGATATTCTGAGAGGGTCAATGAAATTGTTAGGCACTCAGAAATGGCTACTAAACCGATTTTCACCATGTTGATAACTAGTTGGAATGCCTATTGAAGCAAAAATGAAAGTTTAGTGACTAATTCCACCTATGAATTTAGCCTCTCCATGTCACCAATCCTAATTAAAAAAGAGTAATGCTATATGTACAAATTGAGGATCATTCCCATGTGATGTGTCAAGTGCGTGAGGATGAAATGATAAGACCAATTAAATGTGTGAATATGAGACTCACTTTATTGACCTTATTATTTAATGTTGATATGGCATTACTTTTTAGAAAAATGAAGGAATTATCTTCAAGGAATGTGCAATTCACAGGTTGGATAGTAAGTTATCTGGTTTTTTCTTGTTTGATCATTCTACCCCCTAAATTTGTCTCATTGACTTTTTTAACTTGTAACATTTGCATACAACTATTTGATTTTCCATTATGTACGAAGGGTATCCTGGCCATATTACAAATATTTGACACTAGCTTTTACTGGACGGTGCTAATGGCTGTTAGGAAAGTTCCTTCTTTCACTTTCATCAGCTGTCATTTACAGCTTCATCTTTTACCTTTTTAATAAGTTCACTTAAGCAGTAATTAAATATGAACTCTGCATTTTTATGATCTCATGATATAAAGCTTTCGGTCGACTCACGGGGGCTTCATTAGTTACTTGTATTTATCCGTTGGCTCTCGTTTTATTTTTACCAGCATTTTGTGATCATACAAGATTCTCAGACACCTTAATCTTATCCCCTCCTTGGCTTTATTTATTTGTTGTAGTTCTTTAATGCCTGTATTTTTGTGTTTGATGATTGTAACTGGTCCACGGCTTTAATTTTTTACTATTACAAAATCTGATAGGTATTTTTAAACTTTCCACACCCGGTCCACCACTTGGAAGGTTGGTCATTCCTCTTACGTCCACTTCTCTGCTGACGGATTTACCATTTTATGTAAGCTAATCTATTCTGTCTGCAAAAGTTATTTATTACATGGATAGTTCTCGAATTGAAATCATTGCAATAAATTGGTATTTTGATCCACACACTCGGGTGGATAAAGAGCAGGGTGTAGAAATTTTTTTAAGGGGGGTTAAATATAAATATATATGTAGGGGAAAAATCGTAAATTATCTTTTTAATATGGAAAATCTGGATATTTACTGTTGTTCTCATCCAGTTTATTGTATAAAGTTTTGGTTTCCCTATATTGCAGTTTTTGCTGGATCTTTGATCCTTCCCTATACTGAAATCATGGTCGAAGACGGTGGACTTGATGCTACTATTGATGCCCTTTCGACTGAAGAATGGCTTTCTTGTGCAAAGAGGCTTGTTCCGATTGCTTTGGAGAAGGCAAAGGAGGCTAAAGGGTTCCGTGGGAAGTGGAAGATGATAATATTAAAATTGGAACAAATGCCCTCACAGTTGTCAGATTTGGCTAGCCATCCTTGCTTCTCAAAGAGTGTGCTTTGTAAGGAGCAATTGCAAGCTGTCTCAAAAACATTGAACGATGCAATTTGTCTAGCCAGGTTGTGTGTGAAGGAGAAATATGAGCGGAAGCTTCAAATGCAAAGTGATCTAGATGCTTTGTTGGGGAAACTTGATTTGAATTTGCGTGATTGTGGTCTCTTGACCAAAACTGGAGTGCTCGGTGAGGTTACTTTGCCGTCAGCAGTAGCAAGAACTTTGCCCGAACTGGAGTCGGGAATTCATGGCAATATAAGAGAGTTGCTTGCCCGTCTTCAGATTGGACATTTAGAGGCTAAACAAAAGGCTCTTGATAATCTCTTAGAAGTCATGAAAGAGGATGACAAGCATATCTTGGCCTTTTTGGGAAGAAGCAATGTCGCGGCTTTAGTACAATTGCTTACGGCTACTTCTCCTCGAATAAGAGAAAAAACAGTTACCGTTATCTGCTTGCTTGTAGAATCTGGAAGTTGTGAGAATTGGCTTGTTTCAGAAGGCGTGCTTCCACCCCTAATAAGACTTGTGGAATCTGGTAGTGCCTTGGGTAAAGAGAAGGCCATGATTTCTCTCCAAAGGTTGTCCACATCAGCGGAAACAGCTCGTTCAATAGTCGTGCATGGTGGGGTCCAGCCTCTGATTGACATCTGTCGAACTGGTGATTCCGTTTCACAAGTAGCTGCAGCTTGTACCTTAAAGAATATATCTGCTGTGCCCGAGGTTCATCAAGCACTTGCTGACGAAGGAATTGTAAAGGTAACTATTGATCTTCTTGAATCCGGAACTCTGCTGGGATCGAAGGAGCATGCAGCTGAATGCTTGCAAAATCTCACTTCAAGTAACAAGAATCTTCGGAGGTCTGTTATTTCTGAAGGTGGCGTAAAAAGCCTGCTCGCGTATTTGGATGGTCCGTTGCCTCAAGAATCTGCAGTCGGGGCATTGAAAAATTTGATTGGCTCGATCTCAATGGACGTTTTGATTGCACTAGGTCTTCTCCCAAGGTTGGTTCGCGTGCTTAAATCAGGCTCGCTTGGTACGCAGCAGGCTGCGGCATCAGCAATCTGTCAAATCTGCACTTCTACTGAAATGAAAAGATTAGTCGGTGAATCTGGATGCATTCCTCTTCTCATTAAGATGTTGGAGGCTAAATTGAATAACACTAGGGAGGCTGCTGCACAAGCAATTTATAGCTTGATGACCGAATCCCAGAATTGTCAAGAAGTTAAAAAAGACGACAAAAGTGTGCCGAATTTGGTAGCTTTGCTCGATCCAAGTCCTCAAAACACGGCAAAAAAATATGCTGTTTCCTGTCTTATGTTGCTCTCCTCGAGCAAAAAATGTAAGAAGCTGATGATTTCATACGGTGCCATTGGCTATCTCAAGAAGCTGACAGACATGGAGATTCCGGGCGCCAAGAAACTGCTTGAGCGTTTGGAAAGAGGTGTGTTGAAAAGCTTGTTCAGCAAAAAGTAGGAGGAGAACAGAATGTTTAAAGTACAATGTTGGTATAATTTTATGACATTGTCTAAATAAATCAAAATAGTGATCAATGCTATCATCTCTGATGCATAACCTTGCACGTCTATGTAATCCACGTCTCATTTCGTACTCTGAAAAGATCAATATATGTGTTCTACAAGTAGAATACTACTAGTTTTATGATCATATATGTAAATTATTATGGTTAAATCTTTGCAAAGCATGATAAATCCCATCGTGTATTCGCAGCAGCGGAGCCAGGGGAAGACTTTTTTTTTGTTAGCTATAAGGGAAAAAATTCTATAATGGCGTGGGAATTTGGGGAAACTAATCGAGTGTCTTCATTTAAAACGAAGATACATTCGAAGAACGAATTTAATTGAGGAGTCAGAATCAAGAAAAATAATTGCATTGATCATCAAGTTAGAGTCAAGAAAAAGAATCGAGTCGATCAAGCTTGATGACCGAGAAAAGAACAATAAATAATCAAATTACAAAACGAGTGAACTCTTAATAGAGACTTGTTATATCATGTTGCTTATAAGTATGTTGTAATCTTTGCTAAAGATAAATTATTACAAAAAGTGAAATTACACAACATGTGACTTTTCTTCTGAAAAAGTGACGCGTCATCACTCAATAATACAAAAAATAAAAATAAAAAAATAAATGAAATTGCTATGTAGCATCGCTAATGCTTATCTAGTCTAAATGACAGGTTCAAGATTATTGTACTAAAATATACTGGGATTATGTTGTTCAAAACTAATAACAATAAATAAATAACTAAATAAATAAATAATAAATAATTGGTCCATGCTTGCATGGCATGAGTGAACCATGTGACGACAGTATGGTACAAAATTTTGACTTTTTTGACCCTTTTTTATCATTGCAAATTTGAACTTGGCGACTTTTCATTTGATTTTTGGCATCTTTTCGTACTTCTGATCGATGACTATGTATAGGAGTCATATTTGAGGGAAAGATGTTAGAAAAATATCTTGCAATCCATACTTTGTTCTAAGAACAATCAAATTTCGATTAACATTCATATCTTCGTGTTCTTCAAGTTTTGAAAAATTTCATCTTGTGATTTGATGAAATTCTTTATAAGACTTGTTATAATCCTTCAAATCATTTGTCGGAATACCTTTAAACATCTCGAAAACACCAGAGAAGGGGCAAATAATGTTTGAGGACAGTGATCCCGCGTTCAAACTTTCACATTTGTTGATACAAATTTTGTTTTGATCCATCTTGTTGCCATATTCTCTTGTGGTCTTCTTTTTCTCCATCTCTTAATTTATTTCTAACAATCTCAAACGTTATTTTCCTTCCAATGGAGAACGAGACTATAATGACAACCATCAAACTTATGAATGAAGACTTGGTGCGGTTGGATCGATTCAATGGTACAAATTTCATGCGGTGGCAAGACAAGTTGAAATTTCTATTTACTGAATTGAAGATCTTCTATATTTTGAACCCAGAATTGGTGCCACTACCGGAACCAACAAATGGAGAGACCAAGGCAGTCAAGGCTGAAAGAAGAAACGACAAGAAGATGAATTGATATGCCGCGGTCACATACTAAATGCATTGTCAGACCGTTTATATGACTTATACACAAACATAACTTCTGCAAAGGAAATCTGGGAAACATTGGAGAGTAACTACAAAGCGGTAGAGGAAGGTACCAAGAAGTTTTTGATTTCTAAATACTTCGACTTTAAATTCCTTGATAATATCCCTCTTCTTCCCCAAGTACACGAATTGCAAATCATTGTCAACAAACTAAAGGCGGTAAAGATTGAAATCCCGGAGACTTTTCAAGTGGGAGCCATAATTGCTAAACTCCCAGGGGCTTGGAAATGATACCGGAAGAAGATCATGCATAGTTCCAAAGAACAAAAAATGATATCGGAAGAAGATCATGCACAGTTCCAAAGATTATTCTTTGGAACAATTGCAAAAGTATCTTTGGATTGAGGAAGAATCCAGATTGCGTGACAAGAATGAAAACTCCTTTGAGGGAACTTCCAAAGCCAATGCTGTTGAAAAATCTGAACCACCGGCAAAATTCAATAAGAGGAAGCCTTCGAGGAACATTAACAAGTCCAAGAAGAAGACCAAAGAAGGGTGTTTTGTGTGTGAAAAATCTGGACAATATGCAAAAGATTGTAGATACCGAAAACAAAATAACTTCAAGGGCAAAGTGAACTCCACCCAAGAGGATAAGATCGTGGCCACTGTAAGTGAAATAAATGCAATCAAAGGAAAGGTTCTCGGGTGGTGGTATGATACTTGTGTTACTGTACATGTATCATATGATGAAACTGTATTCAAAACATATCATGAGGTGGATGGAGACCAAGAGATTCAAATGGGCAACGAAGTTCGATCCAAGGTTATTGGAAAGGGAAATGTTGATATCATCTTCACTTTTGAGAAAACCATTACCCTTACCAATGTACTACTACATGTTCCGGATATGAATAGAAATTTAGTAAGTGGTAATCTCTTAGAAAAATTGGGTATCAAATGTGTGTATAAATTCTGTAAGCTTGTACTCTCCCTTAATAGAAGATTTGTTAGAAAGGCTATTCTAGTGAAGGAATGGTCAAACTTTGTACCGTTGACAAGAAAATGAATAAAACTAATTTTGTTTAAGTTGTTGATTTATTTTTATTATGGCATGCTAGATTAGGACATATTGGTAAAATTACTATGAAACGTATGAAAAAATGTGAGTTGATTTCATATGATGAAAATAATGAACATAAATATAAAACATGTGTGGAATAAAAAATGGCTAAAAAGCCATATTAAAATGTGAAAAGGAGAAAAAAGACCTCTAATACTTGGAATTAAATTATACAGATATATGTGAATTAAATGACATGTTAACTAGATATTGAAATAGACACTTCATTACTTTTATTGATGATTTTTCTAGATATACATATGTGTATTTGATGAAACATAAATATGAAGTTTTTGACATATTTAAGGTGTATAAAAATGAAGTTAAAAATCATTTAGGAAAGAAAATAAAGATCCTAAGAAGTGATAGAGGTGATGAATACTTTTTTAGTGAATTTAATTTATATTGTGAATAATATGGCATAATTCACCAATGTTCTGTAGAACCTTAGTAGAAACGATTAATGACATGCTTATATATGCTAAATTTCTATTTAATTTATGAGGCGAAACTTTATTAAGTGCATGTAGGATACTTAATAGGATTCCTTTTAAACGTACAAAGGTTTCTCCTTATAAATTGTGGAAATGAAGAAAACTAAACATTGGATACTTTAAAGGGTGGGGGTGTCTTACTTATTGTAAGAACACAAATCCTAATAGGACCAAATTGGGTCTAAGAGGCATTAAATGTGCTTTTGTTGGATATGCTAATAATAGTAAATCTTACAGATTGCTAAACTTGGAGACCAGTGTGATTATCGAATCAAGTGATGTACAGTTCTTTGAAGATTTGTTATCATCGGATAATGAATTGAAGGAAAATACTGGAAACATCCCTAACTTAAGTGGAACACATAATGAAATGTCTTCTAAAGATGTTGATGATCTAGTAAACCACGAAGAAGTAAGAGAATTCAAGTCGAGAAGTCTTTGCGACCGGATGAAATTGATTCTCAACTTATCTCCTTTTACTCAGTAAAAGGAAATGAGTTGAATGTGTAAGAACGATTCCTTTTATTTTACAAGTGGAAACCGACCCTAAAACATATAAAGAAGCTATGGCTTCTCGTGATAGTATTTTTTGGAAAGATGCAATTAAAGATGAAATGAATTTGATAATGTCTAATAAAACATGAAAATTTGTCGATTTACCACCAGGATCCAAATCTATTTGATGTAAATGAGTATTTAGGATGAAATATAATGCTGATGGCTCTCTAAATTCTTTCAGGGCTAAATTAGTAGTTAAAGGATATCGACAAAAGAAGGGAATAGACTATTTTGACACTTATGCACCGGTAGCTAGAATAACATCGATTATGATATTATTTGCATTGACTTCAATAGATGACTTGTATGTTCATCAAATGGATGTTAAGATGACATTCTTAAATGAGGATCTCGATGAAGAGGTCTATATGGAGCAACCCGAAGAGTTCATTCTACCTGAAAATGAACATAAGGTATGCAAGTTAGTAAAATCATTATATGATTTGAAGCAGACACCTGAGAAATGGCATGAAAAGTTTGACTTAGCAATTATATCATTCAGATTTAAACATAATAGTATAGATAAATGTTTATATACTAAAATGTGTGATGATTACGTAACATTTATATGCTTGTATGTTGACGATATGTTGATTATAAGTAATCACATGGACGGTATAAAAGAAACGAAGAGCTTTCTATCTTTCACATTCAAAATGAAGGATCTTGGACAGGTGGATACCATTTTAGGTATCAAAGTCACAAAGACTAGTGAGGGTTGTGACCTAAGTCAATCACATTACATCGTGATTATGATAAACAAGTTCAAACACTTGAACGTAAAAGAATATAGTACTCCAATTGATCCAAGTTCAAAACTCGTAAAGAATGATGGGAGGGTGATTGATCAATTGGATTATGCTAGTGCTATTGGAAGTTTTATGTATGCAGTTCAGTACACAAAATCGGATATAGCATATGCTATTAGTAAACTTAGTAGATTTATTAGCAATCCAAGCAAAAATCATTGGAGGGTCATTGAGAGAGTTCTTGGATATTTAAAGAAAACTAAGAACTTAGGCCTGCAATATACTAAATTCCCCGCATTATTGGAAGAATTTACTGATGCTAGTTGGATATCTAGCACGGGTGAAAATAAATCCACCCCATGTTGGGTGTTAACTCTAGAAGGATGTGCTGTTTCTTGGAAATCAACGAAACAAACATGCAAAACACAATCGACTATGGAATCAAAATTCGTAGCCCTATCGGATACCGAGAAAGAAGTTGAGTGGCTTAAGGATATCTTCTATGAGATACCTTTGGGATCGAAGAATATTTCTTCAATACCTATTATGTGTGATAGTCAAGCCACATTAACAAAAGCATACAACGAGGTATACAACGAAAAGTCTAGACATATGAGTCTTAGACATGACTATATAAGGAAATTAATCAAGGATGAAATAATATTCTTAAATTATGTAAGGTCAATTGAGAATTTGGCGAATCATTTGACTAAACCTCTAAATAGAGATTTAGTAGCATCTATTTCGAGTAGGATTGTGTTGAAACTCCTTAACTAAAAGGTTTATCAATGACAGCAACCCTACCCGTCGTTACTCAAAAGGTAATTTACGGGTTCAAAAGATAACAACAAGTGATTCGATATGTGGATAGTTGTAGTATTATTAAAATTCACAATAATCCTATCATAATTAAAATAATGCTAGTTGTTACTAAAATGAGGGATGGGCTTTTTAAGCTTTGAATGAAGTTCAGTGCTAAAACACAAGTACCTCTAAAAGTAACAAAGGTACTGAAAGAATTTCACCTAAACAATTTTCAAGGTGGTGCCTCCTTAATAGAGAGTTGGAGTTTCTCTCTTAAAAGATTGTTGAAAAGGATAAGCGCAAGGCCATAAAAGCGCTTAGCGAGTTATGAGGAACTTGAGAACACGTGCTACTCGTGTGTATGTTGTTATCGGTATTGTCATATGGAATAACTTGTTCAAAACTACACACTACCTTTGATTCCGACTATATTTTGTTTGAATTATACTATGATTAGATTCAAATCGAAAAATATCTTCTAAGAACAATCAAATCCAGATTTACATTCATATCTTTGTGTTTTTCAAGTTTTGGAGAATTTCATCTTGTGTTTTAGTGAAATTCTTTACAAAGTTTGTTATAATCCTTCAAACCATTTATCGGAATACCTTTAAACATCTTGAAAACATTGGAGAAGGGGCAAATAACGTTTGAGGACAGTAATCCCGCGTTCAAGCCTTCACATTTGTTGATACAAATTTTGTTTTGATCCATCTTGTTGTCATATTCTCTTGTGATTTTCTTTTTCTCCATCTCTCAATTTATTTCCAACAAAATATTGAATAATACTATGTAACCCCATTGGCGTTATAACTCCAATTATGTAGTATTAGGTGATATGTTAAATTAAAAGTGAAATTAAATTACTTATTTAATTGTATTTATCATTTAATATTACATTAATGCTATATAGACTGGGGTTATAATTCTAATGAGGTTAAATAGTATTACTCTAAAATATTATCTTTGTATTTTAAATTTTAAAAGAAAAATCCTTTGAAACACGACTGATGCTTAGTTGCAAATTAGGTGATAATAGCTCTTACTACTTCATTGTCTAATAAATTAATTGGATAATGAATTATGATTTTCTCCGTCGCTCAATCTAATGCAAAGCATTAGTGTTACTTCCCAGATAAATCAAGAGATCCAAATAAAAGTCTAACTCGCACTCTGAACCGTTGGATCAACTTCAGTGGGGGCCCATAATGAATATGTCAAAGGCCCTTCGCTGACGTCCGAAGCCTATCATAAACTGCACCGTTTATTAAATCCAATGATTGGAGAGACATTGCATCATCGGTCCTCAATTTATTGCCAGTGTAATAAATTTATCTCTAATCTTTTAAAATAAGCAAATTTGTCTTCAACCCAACATTATAGATGTATAGTATGCCCTTGTTTGAGCCCCATTATTTTGGGAAGAATGAATTTTTGAATAGTGTATTGATGAAAAATGTGTGGTTAAAAAATAAGAAATTTTTTTGAATTTGTGTGTAATATTATTTTATTGAAAAATGTGTGATTGAAATGATATTAAAATACTGTTGAAAAATGTATTTTTTCAGAAGAATGGGGTTCAAACAGGGGCTATATATAATTACAAAAACCATCCAAGTCTTTGAAAAATGTTACTTGATCTTCATCTATTCAACGTTTGAAGTGAAGTTTTGTTCCCAAATTGAATTCGTAGTCCTAAATTTGAAACTGGGATATGTTTTAGGAAGTTATATTTGACAAATATGGTTTTTACCATTTGATGGCACTTGTCAAAAGAGAACTACACCAATTATAGGATAGAAATTGAGAAACAATTTAACTATTAGGCAAAAATTTGAAAGCTAGTAAACTGCCACCAAATTTTGCAGTTTACTTCCGAAACCAAAAAATTTACTCATTTAACTTTTAAATTTTAATATTTTATCACTAGTTCAATACCTATTTGACTCATTTAATCCTTTATCAATTCTTTTTTTAGGTCAATACATAAATTGACTTTAAAATGTTGGTTATTGGAGGCTAGTTGTGCAATTTTATTGAGATATTGAGAATCATTTTGTTATTAATTGAAGATGGAGGACCAATTTACTACTTAAACAATAAGTGCAGACCAACTCCGCAATATATCTTTAATTGAAGTCAAATTTCGCCAATTAATATTATATTTTCCCCCTTTTTCTTTCAGAAATATCAAAAATGAAAAATAGAAAAAGCCTTTATCACTCGGCCTCTATCTTTAATGTTCATCGAACAACATTGATAAATATATTTGAGAGTGAGAGAGAAAATCGGGAAGTTCGAGACAATAGCCCCGGCATAGTCCCCGGTAATAACCACTATTACTATTTATAGATGTTAATTCACACTCGTGTATTTGGTTTAATTTGTGTAAAACCGTAGATTTTTCTCCGAATCCTTATAGATCTATTCAGGTACGAAAATGGTTGTTTTGTCGATTCTTATTGTTTAATTTTGTATTGGGAATGATGGAATTATTTTGGTGATTTTGGCTTTGAGCTGAACTTAATTGTCGCGACTGAGGATTTTACAAAAAAAAAAAAAAAAAAAAAAAAAATTTTGCAATGAAATGTTATAGAGAGAGTTTAAAAGCTATGTTTCTGATTATTAATATATCATGTTAGTTGATACTAAATAGATGTGATTACAAGTTAACAAGTTAATTGAAAGAACTCTTGCTAAATTTTACGTGAAACCTATTAGTGGTATAGAAGGATAACAAAAGGCCGTGTTGAATGAATCTAAGACACTATTAGATTTGCCACTTCATATAATATTGGCAGCTTCTGCTCAATGTTTCACGTTACAAGCAAATATATGATTGACACCGGAGACATCAAACCGTGATCCTTTAGGTTTTTTATTATTATTATTTTTAAAGTTCAGGTTATGCTTCTCTTATCTATTTGCTTTACTATAACTTCTTTACCTGATCAAAATGCTTCCAAATCCTACCATACTGCACGTGGCTGTAACTGATAAGGAAAGGAAAAACTGAGAAAAGATAATAAAATATAAAAAAGTTAGTATGAGTCGCTGCCGAGGAGAAATCGAAAATCTTAAATTAACTAATATAAATTTATAATGCTGAGTTTTTGCCTCAAGAATGGAGTCATCAAAACAAATTTTGACGAGTGGAGTATTTAAAGGGATGTGGATTGCTGTCAAAACTCTGGTTATATGGAAGAGGAAAAGCAGAAGTTTAATTTGAACATGTCATGGATCCTTTGATATTGGTGTAGAATTGATTGAAAATCAGGTATAATGTAGGGTTAGGTGAAAATTTTAATTGTGCACCGTGGGTGAAAGCAATATAATCCTTCTACCAATATCGCATTATTTGATCCTCCATTAGAGAAAAGTTCACTCCACTGAAGGCACTTAATCCGTATTCTAATGGTCTATGGCATCATCCTTGCAATCTGATTTGGTAATGCCTTTCTCGTGTTCCTGCTTTGCTGACATCTTTCACATCGGTGTTGGGGGGGTTTCGGAGTTTGATAGCTGATAGTTTGCAGCTCTAAGTCCTGCATAAAATGTTTAATTCCTCGCACTTGGTTTTGTGCTCAGATATGAATTGCTGTAGCATCATAGTCCACAATATAATCTGTAACCCTAGATATGTTGCAGGTGGCCTCATTCATAAAGCCTATTACATTATTCTTACTCTTTGAGGTACAATTGGGTTTGGTCATAACGATTCATTTATTGTTTGCGAAATCGTGCAGATATATTGTTTCTTTTATGTTGAAATTATCTGCCTGGGGGTGAAATGTTCAGTTCAGCTGAATGAAATCAGTTCGTTTCTTGACCTTTCAGGTTGACCAAGATAAAATATGAGTACATTGGATGTAGCTAGAACAGAGCTTGCTCTTGCGGTTTTGTATCTGAACAAAGCCGAAGCGAGGGACAAGATATGCAGGGCAATCCAATATGGTTCAAAATTTGTAAGTAATGGAGAGCCAGGCACAGCCCAAAATGTTGACAAATCCACCAGCTTGGCACGAAAAGTGTTCCGTCTGTTCAAGGTAAACTCTACTTGTATGTTTCCAGTTGTTGTTGTGATGCGTGTCTGTTTTACATGGTATGTTCTTGTGGTTTCTGAAGGTATTTTATGCTTCATATCAAATTTCTTCCCATCCTTGCCTTTTTATGTGTATTCATGTGTGAAGAATAGAGCTTTTATATGCTGTACCATGGAATACAAGGAGCTGTTATTATCATCTATATGTTCTTGACAAGTTTTCATCTTTGTTCATTTTACAGTTTGTAAATGATCTGCATGCTCTCATTAGTCCTACTGCTCCAGGAACTCCACTTCCTCTGGTTTTGTTGGGAAAGGTATTCACATCTTAATTGTGGAATTCTACCCATTCCTCCTCTCTCTCTCTCTCTTTATTGGTCTTAACGTGTTCTGCTGGTGTTTGTTTCAGTCTAAAAATGCATTATTGTCCACGTTCTTGTTTCTTGATCAAATTGTGTGGCTTGGCAGGACTGGCATATACAAGGTATGCTTTGAATTTCTCTTCTCTAGTTTGACAATAGTTTGGAAAATGATTATACAATAAATATAAGCTAGAGAGCTCTAAATCAACCTTTTTATGCAGAACAAAGAAAAAACAGAACTAATTGGAAGGATATCCCTTTTCTGTTGGATGGGCTCTTCAATTTGTACCACTCTTGTTGAGGTATGATGGACTGTCCTTGTCCAGCCTTGTGGCTTTGACATAATTTTACTGTAATCAGTGCTTACAAGTTAAAACCATGGACTTAATGTCTGGTGTACTTCATCATGTGTGACGGCAGATTGCGGAACTTGGGAGGCTTTCAGCTTCAATGAAGAAGTTAGAGAAGGAACTTAAGAACACGAATAAATACAAGGTCTTCTCGTTGTTGACCTGCTGAACTAATTGGCAGTTCTTACCCTTTATGTAATCTGGATGATATAGTCTATATGGTGGGTTTATTTTTGTTGCATTTCCATTGCAGAATGATCAGTACCGCAGTAAGCTTCAAAAGTCAAATGAGAGATCTCTAGCCTTTGTTAAAGCAGTCATGGATATTGTTGTTGCTGCTGGGTTGCTTCAACTGGCACCCAAGAAGGTCACTCCTCGTGTAACAGGTGCCTTCGGATTTGGTAGCTCGCTCATCTCTTGTTATCAGGTACCCACCAATTTCTTTTTAATGTTTTGTCGTCATTTTGAAGTAAATGACCGAGGTCATGTTTGGCTATGTTTAAAAAGTTTACTTATAACTGAATAAGTTTTTTTCAAAATAAAGATTTTTTTAATCGATCAAAGTATTTTGATGGTCAAGTCAAGAGTACTTTCAAAATGAGTTTTTTTTTTTTTTTTTTTTTTTTTGGGGGTAATTCGAGTAGGAAAAAGGTAACTTACCCAATTGTATTTGGAAACGCATTTCACTTTTTAAAGATTAGCCAGACACGCTCAAATGCCAAATCACCATCTTATGAGGACCAATTGCTTTCAAAACATGAAAACTTCAAAGTTCAAAATTAGCATGCCATTTTAATTAATTTTCAGGCTAGTTAGAACGAAGATTACTGATAACTAGGAAGTTTTTTGGGGGCAGATAGAATGTAGTAATATTTTCAGGAACATTTATAATAAATTCATGTATACAAGTTCACAACTTACATGATTGGATGACAAAAGTCTCAGGGAGGTTTATCTGCCACCTTGCAAGTTGCAATAGTATGTTTGCTTACAGTTGCTCTGAGTTTTGATAACGAAATACTTTTCTTGCAGTTGCTTCCATCACCAGTGAAGGCCAAGACACCCTGAAGGATATACCTGCTCAACAAGCCTTAGTGTTGCTAAATTAATTATTTACACAAGAAAGCTATGTGATTTTGAGCAATATGCCGACAAGTTCGGTATGGTTTAAGATTTCACTTTGTTTTAACCCCACTGTCATTGTTCATTTTGCCTCCTATTACTCTATAATAATATGTGGCATCTCATTTTAGCTATGTGTTCATCAGTTGCATTTCTTGCTGATTTACACACCACAGTGTGATCCCACCCCGCCCACCAAATTCCTAGCTCTCTTCCATTGTGAAACTGTCCTATTCTTACCATGGGATTATCTTTCTTTCTTCTTTTTTTCATATCTATACTTCGGGATATAAAAGCGGATGGTATCATAGAGATTGTTGACATACCTTGGGTTTGCTAGATTTGACACAAATTGCTAAGATTTGTTGGGTGAGTTTGTCGTGAGTGAAAATCTTTATATTGGTCGACTAGTGTTTATTGGTCTTTATAGGCATTGCGTTAGCGTCCCATTTCATATACCCTTACACCCTGTCGCACTTGAGAAGCTCAAAGAATAGCTAAATCCTGAAGTTCTCAAATTCATGAAGAGATGGTATTACCTTAGCAATTGGGGTTTTTGGACTTTCAGTTTGTGGGATGGGATATCCGTAGTCGAGAAGAAAACCACCTATTTGCCTACCAATAAACTTCTACCTCGTATTATAGCGTGCACTTTTGGGACTGCACACTTGCAGGAAGGAAGTGCGAGCTTGATGTAAATAGGTACAATATGTCTTGCTTTATAGTTTGAGAAAGCAAGGATTGGAGCAGGTTAGAGATGTGACCACATGGTTATAATTTGTTTTCTCCACAATGGTTAAATAGGTTTATGAATGACTTCATGTTTAAGATTGCTTATCTCACCACTAAGAGCGTCTCTAATGTAACCGTGGATTGATTAAAAAATTGTCATGCAAGTAAAAATAGATGGTTGTCAAGAAGATCCTTCTCTTTAATGGAAGCTGACGACGACTTTGTCAAACTTACGTGTGATAGAAAATAAAATTAATATTTTCTTTTGAGATTTAAAATATTTAGTTGTGATTATGTTTCTATTAAGAAAATAAAGGACAATACATAGGATTCATTTTCAATTAATTTTTAATTTAAGTGTCTACTTATTGACTTTAATGTTAGTGTATCTTAAGTCTTTCAACTTTCATGTCACAATGTGTTGGTGATAAAATATAATATCACAAAGCTAATGGTCGTTAGCCCTATGGTTGATCGAAAGTCCTGTGCCACTTTCACTCCAATCTATCTGACATTCAATCCATCTTTGTCGAGCCAGTTCATAACAAAATGTTAGACCAAGGCTGACACAACCGAATTCTTATGGCATCATATAATTTTCTGGTCGATGAAAATTAATCCGTCAATTTAAGAAAACTCAACATTCATTGACAACACATCCTCCTAATTCGCACTGGGCCAAACGAAGCGCTCATGTTTTTCTAATTAACATTAGGTCCTTGATTGGTTTAGCTTAAAACTTGAATTAAAATTTAAGTTAAAATAAAAAATAATTTATAGAATAATATTATAAGCACAAATGGTGCTAAAGAACCAGTTTATGTGACTACACTAGATAGATTGAATTAATTGAATCACATGACATTATATTTAAATAAATTTATCATTGGATGTAATGCAATTTTCACCTAAATTGATGCTTGATACTAGTTATGCTGAGTAATTAAAATCACATATTTCATGGGATATGTATATTTTTAACCACATATTATATCATTTTTTAAAATATGCTAAAAATTAAATTTTTATCTAAATTAAACTGGGGTGCATAGAAAGGATTATTCTATATGTACACCTGGGTGTAACCTAAGTGACAATTCATCATTGATTATTTTATATGTATATCAGGATTTACAAGCATAAACTAGATAGAAAAATGTCTACAAATGACCAAAAGGAAAAAGGTAGGTACCATTTTGTCCAAAATTTACTATTCTAAACTAGTTGATGGTAACCATTTAAAATTTAAAATAAAATAATTAGAAAAGGTAATTTATAAAATATTTACTTTTTTTCTTTCTCCTTTTTCGTAGCTCTTTCACCCTCCATGTTTCTTTGCTTGTTAGTCGTTCCTTATTTGCCTTTTTACCTTTCCTGCCTTGTTTGGCTTGGAAAACTTTTATGGCATGATTCGTTTTTATTTCCTCTTCGCCGGCTCGATCTCTCCTTTCACTTTTCTCTTGGCCCGGCCGTAATTAAGAATTTGATCTTAATTCCCAATATAAAAAGAAGTAACAATGAATATGTATAAAATGAAGATGATGGATGGCATCAAATTTATTATCATCTCATTTTATTATTATTATTTTTTATTATCAATTTTGTCACTTCTATTAAATGCTTTCTAGTAGAGGTTTTTTCAATAATCTTAAGAGGATAGGGAATAGGGGCCAATTGACAATTAGGTTTTCACTCTATTAAAGCTATATGGCTGCAGTGTTATTCTTTTGACTTTGTTTTAATAAAAATTAACATATTGTGATTTGTGAGAATTTTCTTGATTGAAATGGTATTCATGAGCGAATTAATATTTTGTGATTACGTCTTATTAATTTTGTTCGATTTTGTCTGAGCCACAATGAAACGAACTCACTAGGTTCAGAGAATTACGACTCAACTGAGCATAGTGGTGCAAAAGAACGACCTCAACACGATTCAATATTGTATGAATTGTTATCGGTAATCGTTAATAGATAATCATTTATTCTATTTAAATTTTTTATGTTTATTATTGAAAATCCTATTAGAATTTATTTATTTTTTTTTTGAAGAACTACGATTTACTTGAATTGTCTTTCATCACTAGTTTATCCGAGGAAATAAATACCAATATTTAAACAAATCCTTGTAATTGTGATACTAATTTCTTATAATATTATTCAACGGCTAGTTGTATTCTGAAAAATATACCTGGGAAACTGTGTGCTTATAAACTACTGAATCACAGAGAACATAGATACAGGGGACAACGAGGGTCAAAAAGGGGACAACGACAAATTATATATAGCCGTTGCACCCACAATATTGTATTATTTAATTTACCACCCGTTTGACCACATATTTGAAAATGAAAATGAGTAAAATAATATTTTTTTTTAAAAATGAGTGATCGAAAGAGAAGGAAAAGTTTTTGATTTGCGTGTAATATTATTTTATGGAAGATTGTGTGATTGAAAATATGAGAGAAAAAAAATGAAATGAAATTTAATAAGTTGTTAAGTAAATAGTAGTCTATTTGAAGAAAATGTTTGTTTAGAGGGAAAAATTAAAAATCGATAACGTGTAAAGTGCGAATATTTTATCAAGCCTTTATTGGGAAACAACCATGGGATAACAGATTTGAGGGAGTAATGCTATTTATCATCGGTGATAATCATCGTCGATTTGAAAAGCACTTGATTCATTATCGAATGAACTTGTATTGCACTTTCACGAGAGAATGGAAAAGATCAATTTCAAATTCATTCCATGGAATACAGCTTGCATTCTATTTGACAAACAGATAAAAAGACTTTCAGATCACATAATATTAATGTCTAATGAATAGATGTTTAGGTTCAAGTTTCGTATTCAATGTATTTGATCTATTATTTGAATTCTTCTAATAGGATCACTTTGACGGAGTCACAACCAACTTTCAATGAAAATGAATTATGTAAACACCGTGTATTTTTCCTGTGTTGCACAATTTTCTGCAATTCATGATTGTAACGAATATGCTACTAAGGATTAACAATCACGTAGACTGTCGATAATCATTAATGATAAATAACAATATTCGACTCAAAATCACATTTTAATAATAAAGATAAATTTATGGGATAATTATTGTTGACTTTTTATTTATACTTATATAAATTTTATTCAATCTAAAAGAATGTATATTCTACTGAGGCTGTAACTTCTATTGAAACGAGTCATTAGTTATCTTTAAGTTTTTTCTCTTATTCTCTCGTCTCTTTTTCCATAGTTTTATAGCAAAATTTTGTTACTTATGTATCCTTTACGTTTCAATATTGTTCAACCTCCAAAAATAGAATAGTCCGAGTAATCAGTAAAACTTGAATTCTGTCTGCACGAAAAATCGTCTCTATTTCTCTCTCCTTTCTCCTCCACCTTCCTCCCCACCTCTATATATACCCACACCGCCCTTATCAGTCATCTCCATTCTCTACCATTAAAACCTTCCAAAAATCAGTACATACACACACACGCCCACACGCACACATACAGGATCAAGATATGGAAAAATCCTCATCAAGAATGATAGAAATCACTGTAATTTCCGGCGAAGACCTGCGCGTAAACCGGAGGCAACTAGTGAAGAAAAACGCTTTTGTGATCGTTCAAACCGGTTCATCAAGAACGACAAAAATGGATAAAGATGGTGGAAGCTACCCAATATGGAATGAAAAGCTTGTTATGGAATTACCCATGCATGCACGTTTTATTAATGTGGAAGTTCAATGTAAGGCCTTGTCCGGTGGAAATAAACTCATCGGAACTGCGAGAATTCCGGTTTCGGATTTTTCTGGAGGGTATCTTCCGGAGAATTATCTGAGCTTTTTAAGTTATAGGTTGAGGGATAGGAATGGGGAGAGGAACGGAATTATTAATCTTTCTGTGAAGGTGATAGGGCCGGAAAATAAGAGCCGGGTCGCCAGTTGTCCGAGGCCGAGGACGGAGGTTCCGGTGGATAACAAGGTTTCCGGTGGAATCGTGGTGGGTATTCCAGTGCCATATAGTTATTGAGAGATTGAATTTTCTTTGCCTTTTTTAACTTTTGGGTGAAGAATGTTAATAGCTTTTTTCCCCCTTTTTTTTTTTTTTTTTTTTTTTTGTCTAAACGATTGACTAATTGACTTATTCATGATAAAATTATGAATTAATCTAATTGTACAATCATATTTGACAATATTTCTTGTGGCAAAATCTAGAAAGTTGATATAAAAACCTATTTTTAAAAGTTATTGAAATGAATGAATGTGATGATAATTGTCGACAAACACTATCAATCATCATTATACATATAGCATGATTGTAAAATTATACTATTGCATAGTTATCAACAATTAAACAAGTAAATTATATATATATACATGACCCTGTCTGGCCACCTGTTTTATCTAAACCAATTGGTTCGTAAAATTTAAAACTTGATTGTCTATCTATCTTTTCTTCATCTAAACTCACTTAAGACTTGTAAAAACTTGAACTTGACCTTTCCGTGTGATTTAATTTTACACGTATCAATTAATTATACTAGGTTAATTACTTCATATCATTTATAATGACGATTGCTTGAACACTTATGAATAATGCTATTTGCAATAAATCACTATCGTAATTGCTTTACGTAACATATATGTGACGGTTAATAATATAATGCACGAGACAATAAAAAATTATCACGTTAATGCATTCAATCACTAACCGTCACATGTATGCCACGACTGTGTTAGCGTACGATTGCAAATAATATACTTTAGTTGAACCCACTCTTGATTATCATACCAGAAACCCTTTCATATTCCAATAAATTCTGGTTTGCCTTGTAAAGCCATCCTCCACCGTGTTCAACCACCACCGACCCCGTTCAGTTCCTCCAATATTTTACCATTACAAAACAGGGAAAATCTACGGCAACCCATAGCGCCATATGACACTTTGAAACCAAAATAATAATAATAACAACAACAACAAGAAGATGCACCAATTGTAGTTTCTTATTGAATTGAAAATTATTGACTATACATACTTTTTAAGACATTGAAATGTGTAGCAAAACCTCACATGCATCAAATACACTACAAGAAGCGAAAGATGGACTTAAAAGAAGAAAAGGAACTATGTACTGATATACTAATTTAAGTACACACAAAAAACAATTGTACTTCAGGGAGAATTATTCTACTTTGCCATATGATTGTTGACATCCTCCTTGACAGATGTGTAAGTGGATGAAAATGATTGAATGGAAATGATGATGGTGTTTAAAACAGTCCATTGATGGCATTATGTCAACCAATCTGTCAAGGAGGTGGGCAATGTAGCATGATTGTTGCAGGGAAGTATGGATGATGACATCCACCAGTCAGAGATGTGAAGGACCCGATTATACTTCTTCATTACCACTTTGATTGCCATTTTTAAGAATGTCGAACTTGCATAGAGGACACGTGGGGTTCATGTAGAGCCATTTATCTATACAGGCAGAGTGAAAATGGTGACGACAAGGGAGTTCACGCAGTTCAGTTCCATCGTCATAGGCACAGAGGCAAATACAGCATTCCTGAAATCCAATGCAGAGATGATTATCAAGAAACTTCATTTGATTGGTAATGAGAAAACTTGACCAACTGTTCTTAAACATTGATGTTTTTGATGAATTCATGTTAGCAAGTTAAAGATTCATAACTGGGTAAGACGTAACCCCAATAAACACTTAAATCAAGCTCCCAGGGCCCGAGTTAGATCATGTTTGATAAGTAAATAAGTTTGCTTTCAAATAAATAAATTTTTTTGATGGGCTAAAGTTGGAAACAAAATAAGCTATTTTACTTATTTTGCAAATAAGATAAAGAGTTATTTTCAAAAGAAGTAACTTAATTTATTTAAACATAACAAAAAAGTACATATCAAAACATGTTTGGAACAAAACTTTACTCCATAATCTCCCATAAAATCACATCCCCCTACCAACCAATGCTTTATTGATAATTAACACAACCAATAAGCATAAAACAGGTATATCTAATCTCACACCAATTGTGCAGTTGTAAAGAACAGTATGAAGAAAGAAAAGAAATCTTAAATGAATTCGCAATGTTTCTATACACGTGAAGTATCAAAACTATAATTGAACATACCACATTCTCTAGAGAAAGAACGTGTTCAACAGGTGAATCAGTGTCACATTCGGTCATTATTCCTCCAAATGATTCTTGAATCTCACCACTTTGTTTGTCAAAATCACCAAATCTTCGGAATTTGTATTTAGGCAGTCTTTCAATGTCATCCTTAGTCGCTCCTTCCTATTAGCACAAAGAAACAAGTGCCAAATTAGTAAATTAATACTGGAGCACCAAGAGGAAAATGCTGTGCCAAATTAGCAAATTCATACAGAGAGTAATTAATACATGACTCAACCTCCAACACAGAATCACGGAATACAGACACAGTCCAGACCTTTTGTTTATTTCTTAAAATATGACTATATGTCTCATTATCAGAAAAGCATAATTAGAACATTTTATTGAAGATAAACATGAAAATATAATCAATGTCATAAAGAACTATTGTCATATGGAAGTAATAATCCAACTTACACGTTAATAATCAAGATAACTCAGAGAGAACACATGCAACTTTTATTTAGTACCACTTTTTGATCGGTGAACTCAGATTCTAATAGCATGTATGTCATGGACCATAAGGAATTTCCAGGACTTCTTTTATAAATCATATAGTACAGACAGATTCACTTGTTATTTAGGAAGAAGTGGAAGTAAGTGATGTCAGAAGAGAGAGAGAGCGAGGTTCTCTCTTTCATTTGAACATGGTGCGTGGCGGAAGTAGGACCAAAGGGAAAGAGGAAGAAAAAGTAACCTAAAACAATAGTTTCATCCACTATCATAACTTTAACATCATCATGTATCTACAATAATTCTACAGCGTCAGGGGTTTGTATACATTAAATATAATTAAAATTATTTGATAAATACGTCAATAAAAAAGAGATGCGATAAAACATAAATAAACTTCACAAAAAGTCTTAAAAAACCATATAAAATGCTAAATTTTAGTTCTTTACCATTGGGGCCAGCTCACTACTGTTTGATTTAGATAAAATAGACTTCTAGTAGATTTTGATAAAAACTGATAGAATGTTTGATGAACAGTTGTGAGCCCCATGCAATGTGTGGTAATTGTTGACTTTTGACTTAGATTTTAAAAAGCTTTTTTATGTGAATCAAACAAGGACTAGATTTCAAAGTGAAACACACAAGAGACATGGATGTGAGTTATATAAATTTAACAAAGAAACAGATATAAAACAAAGGGAGAAGTTTTTCCACATTTGATCCTTGAAGAATAGAAATTAATTTTTTATTTTTTCCCATGTGCTTGAAAGATCCCATATTCTCAAAATTTCATTAGTAAAGTGCCCAAAAATATGACTTAATGTCACAATAATTCAACTACTTAAAAAGGATGAAGAAGAGAGGAAGCTATCTGCATTATCCATACTAACTCTCATATTGCTTGTTACAGGAACCGATATCTACCCACCCCACAAAAATATCCATTGCATATATACATGCACATTAATAGAAAGATCAATATAGGAAGTTGCTCCACGCAATTGGTATCATCAAGCAGCATGGCGTGCTCTGCTTTTTTACTTCATGAAAGATCAAGATAGGTATATAAATTATGTCCCCAATCCCCTCCCCCCGGCACAGGGAAAAGGGACAAGAAAATCCCAGGAGGTTCATGTTGAAATATAGGAACAAGGGAAATTTAAGATGCTAGAGGGTAATAAATCTAGATGTCTTTGTCACAGCTAACCTGAACATATCAAGATCATTATTATTTAATGAACACTAGTACAACCTGAGCTTAAGGTGCAAATGCACCTGAACTGCACTCTGGGCACTTCAGCAAAGAAGTTCAACAACCACTCACAGAGAAAATAATGCATTTCATTTTTGTTGGCAAATTACAGGTATAGGTAAGAGATTTTAAAATTAGAGCTACCTGATCTGCTACTGCATATAAGATTGCAATTATACACGGTAGACAGCAGCACACAGCAATTCCAATGACACATGCCACAGCAATGCATATAACAACAAAGAACACATCGAAAGCCAGAAATGTAATACAAAGCCTGCAAAACAAAACCCCATTCATGGATAGTAAACAAAGGAGAGGAAAAACATATAGATATTGAGGCCTCAACGGAGAAGGATATGTTTGGACAAACCAGTAAAGTTGTGGTGAATCATGAGTCAAACTTTGGCCACCAGCAGTTACCCAGTAGAAACCAATTATCCACCAAATAAATGAGAACATTGTATTTGCAGACTCCAGATGTTTAGCAACGCTGCAATAGGAAGAGGTCATTAATTATCTATTTTGTCAGCTCAGATCTGTGATATAAGACCTTCATAGTTTAATGCTTGCCCCATCATATGCAAAATGGAAAGATATCGGAAACGCATAACATATCAGAGATGTTGAATTCTAAGAGGGGAAGTCAAGGCCAAAGAACAAAAGACTAAGCAGAAGACAAATCTATGACTCAGACTTGGTGACCAATTATGCAAGCTAGACACCACCATAAAGGTCATTCTGTGTCGACACAGATTTATCACTCAGTCCAGCAGGTGGAGACAAGAAAAAGAAATAATACATTCTTCAGAACATTATAAATAAATTTATGTTAGCTCAGAAAGGTATTATATCATTTAAATGCCCAAAGAAAAAATAGTCTTTCGGAAGCAGAGCTGCATTTCATTTGGCACGTTATGTTGGCGTCCATCCATGCCTTCCATAACTATTAAAAGATTCAACTAGTAATCTCTATGGTAAGTTGTTTTCAGAAATATAGTGTTCTTCATGTCTTCACAAGAATTTTGAGACACAACTAGTTTTGCTTTCTCCTATTGGAATTTGTTATACTTCAAGTGAACAATAATTAGTTTACATTTATATAATATAAAAGAGATAAGTCATTACACCCAAAATTTCTCTTCCATTTGGCTGCATCAACAAGTCAGAAATCAATGCACCTATATAAAATCCAACAGGCATATAGGAATTCATCAACCACTTAATAACATCAAACGTCAAATACCATGATATTCCCAAGCATCTAATTAAAATGTGTTTTCTGTCTGCCAATTATACCCATTTTATTGCTACAGACAAAATTATTTAAAATAGCTAAAAAGAATGACTTTGATCACAAAAGTCAATACCACATTCTGTCTACCAATATGAATGCTAATTCGAGAAAAATACAAAGAATATAGATGTATGTGTGCATACCTAGTTTCATCATCATTTTGGTGGTCCTCGGAAGCATAATCACCAGACTCCACCTCATCGCTTCCTGAACTCGAATTCGAGTAATTCCTACTGTACCTAACGCTACCCCTTGAGCTCCCCTCCAAATCTCGCTGTGAATACCTCTTCTTATACTCCATCCAGACGCACGCCATGTGAAAAACGCACTGAAGATCATATCCCAAAATCCAGAGCCTCAAAGGCATTGAAGGAGACTCGTTCCGGCTCATGATCATCACAGCAATCGATACAATCACAAACGCCAGGTTCCAAAATAGGTCCAGTATCACTATCGGCTTCGAGTAGGCCCAGTCGCTCTGCCGCTCCTCGATTTGCTCGGCCGCAGCCTCGCGCACTCTAACGGACGGCTCCCGCATCACGCGACTGCGGCTGCTGGCTTGGCGAATAAAGCGAGACGCGCCGCGGAGGCTCGGCGGGCGGCGCATGAAGCGGGGGCCCGTCCGGAAGAAATGGTGGCCTAATAACGGCGTCGTGTCAACGGCTGCATTGGAATTGGAAATGTTATTGTCAGACGACATCGTCTCGGCCGAGAATTGATTTGAACAGTTAATTGCCTTTTCCGATGAGAGAGATGTCTATGTATTGGTGAAGGTTTGACCAGACGGTGGAAGTTGAAGATTTGGTGAGGATGAGTTACACCACATGTGGTTATTGTCTCAGTATGCTTGTCCGAAGGTAGGTACTCTTGAGTTTGGTTTATGTTTGGCTAAGCTTAGGTTATGAAGTAAGCAATCTCTTTTAGCTAAAAATAAGACTGTTTGGTGAAAATTAAAACTAAAATTTTAGCAGATTTTGATAATAATTGATGAAATATATAGCTGAAAAATTGTAGATTCTGTAAAATATGTGATTAACTTTAAATCCCTATTTGTAAATTCCGTAAAATATGTGATTAACATTAAACCCTGTTTGGGATCCATTTCAATGTGATTTTGAAAGAAAATATATTTTAAAATAATGATTTTTAAAGAATGTGAAAGTTAAAAGATAAATAAATGTTTTGAATTTACATGTAAAATTATTTTATAAAATAATATGTATTTGAAAATAAATTTTGAAAAAATTAATTTAAAAATAATGGAACCCAAATAAACGCTAATTGTTGATTTTGATTTAAATTACAAACTTTATTTTAATTTCCATCAAATAGAAACTACATCCTGGTTTGACGGCTTTTTTTTGTAAAGAATAATTTTTGAAAAATATGTAATTAAAAAGTAGGAAAATGTTTTAAGTTTATTTGAAAAATATTTTATACTGAAAATTTTTTATTTTATTTTATTTTTATTTTTTTGAAAGAATAATTATCAAACAGAGCTAAATTTTGATAAAAATTAATGAAATATATAATTAATAAAAGTTATATATCCTAGTTAAGCAAGTCAAATTTCAATGTCTCTCTCTCTCGTTGAAATTTGATTAGAAGTGTAAAATAGATTACATTATGATCGTTAGTGCCCAAGAAAAATTGCAATAACTATATCATACCATCAAAAGTAAAACAAAATATAATAAAATTAAGAACACTTTAATCAGAATAATTAATGCTAACGCCGCGAAAGAAATGTCACGAGCATTATTATCATAAAATACACTATTTTTCCTCGGTCATTCTATTCGATCCAAATAATTGTCTACAATAAACAAAAGATATGGCACTATGATGCAATTTTTACAGAATTTTACTGTAAATATCACGTGTCTTTCCATCTTTCTACGTATTTGTCCTCATTCTATCACAGCTACCTCTTTTAAGTAAGTAAAACAAAAACGAACGAGATAGAAAACTGTCCCATTTGATGCATGAAATTCCAGTTTACTATGTATTAGCCAATTAAAGATTGAAGGGTACCTATAGCTTCCAGAAGTTCTTTCTTGCTACAAGAATTTTCTCATTTCCATGCGACTCGGATTCCTTCCTGTGTATAGAAGCTTTCCATCTTATGGCACGAGCAATTCGATCTATTTTGGCAACCACTTTGGGTGTATCTCGAATCACAACTGTGCCTTCAGGACGCAACATTCGATCAATTTCCACCATCACATCCACAAGGTTACACCTGAAATCACATTGGGTGGGAGATTACAGTTAGTCTATGGCAGCAGCAGTCGTTCACTCCAACTCCAAAAACTAAAAAAATATGCTACTCATATCAAAGGCTATCTAAGTAATTAAATATGTTGCAGAATATATTTTATTTAAATATATAAATGTCTTCCTCTCTAATTCGTTCGGCACGACATCAAAACAAGCAAATCTCTTTAGGTGCAAGTCTTGCTGCCACACATTTATGAAAATTGTGCATGTCATAGACCTTTTATTAAAAAAGAAATGAATCTTGACTGAGAGAGTTTATTAAAGACATTAAATATACAAATACGTTCGCTCTATCACAACTTAAACATTTAGATAAAATAGTTCAATAAGGTATAATGCCAAAAATAACGCGGTACAATAAGATATGTGAATAAGTACAGAGATACAGATGAATATACAAGAAATGTTTTGTTTAGGACGAATAACCTTAAAACGACCTTCACCTTCTTCAAATAAAGACATGGTCTTAGAGAGAGAAGCTGTGCAGTGAAGCAGATATCAAAGAACAGTAAAAAACAATTGGTTGGGCAAATTATGCATGAATGACCAAGCATATTAGCACCCTAAACAGAGAATCATTGCAACCGTCTTGAATCTTATACAGTGAGATCAATTGGCTCCAAATCATAATGAGAAAAACCATATTTTTGTAGGAAGAATGCAGGCGAAAAAGGTAACGAAGAAAATAATGAACTATTCCTCCATGTAATGGAAGTCGTGTGCTAAATGGATGAAGAAAGTAATGAAAATATCATTTTTACAAGAGTAAGTTTCAGTAAAAAGCAAAATGCACAGGCATTCATGTGGCATAATCAGTTATTCACCATATGAATAGTGATTGGAGGTATTATTCAGGTGGTGAAGAAGCTCAATAAGTAAAGAAATCATAGAAAAAATACAATCATACCTGCTCTTTCCAGAGACGGGATCCTTTATTAGAGATTCCATAGCAGCTACATGAATCAAATCGTACGTCCGAGGATATGTAGAGAAAGGCTCGCACCTGAAAGCATCATCATACACATATTTCAGCCGTTAAAATAAAATTGCCTAATAATTTTTCGGTTTTATACATAGGTCATTCACATCACATAAATGAACACAACAATACATAAAATCTGCAGAAGGTTCATATATATTGCACACTACAGTCAATTGAGTTCATTGCGGAAAGGGAAATTGAAACTACATTGGTGATTCAAGAGAAGGTTTATATAGAGTGCCTGTCAGATTATTCGAGGAAACCAAATAACAACTGTATGGAGGCATGTTGAANCAAATGAAGATATGTTGTAGTATAATTACTTACCAGTCATGGTAAATTCCTATGAGGCCTCTATCATAAATAACGTCAAGTGTATACGGCTTGTGAGCAGGGACAACGTTCATCACCCAAACAGGATCAGAAAATAGTGCAGCAGCAAAACCTCCAAAGAATGCATTCATGTCCATGATATTTCGTATGGAGGAAGTTCCTAATTTTATGTTTAATGAATTTTTATAGTAAGCAACTGTCTTCGCCCATCTCCGGTTGTCAGATTCAAACTCGTTAATTCCATTTATCATCACACCAGCCCTTGAAGGAGCTTTAGTCAACCGTTCTGGCCATTTTGGAATTGTCCCAACAGCATATTGTCCCTTGGCAGAAGGCATTCTGCTCACACATTTCTTCAACTTGAAGTACCTGTAAAACCATATAGTTCAAATCAACAAAATAAATTGTTTGAGGCAAGCTTTTATGAAGGATGTGATTTTCAAGGCAAGAGTTGTTGTTCAATGACGGGGTTCAATTTACTCTGATTGTTGCAATAACTAGCATGCAGAAGTTGTTAGAATAATGAAAGAAAAAGGGCAAATCCAAACTCCAAATATTGTGAATATTGTGTTACCAGGCAACACTAGGGTTGTCGGATTCATCGCACAAGCTAAGGTTGAAGTCATTTTGACTAGGATGACATGAATCCCCGTTTCGCTTTTTCCAGATGGCAGTGTTCCCATCCACAACAATGAGTTTATAACACAATGATTTGGCCACTGCCTGAAGCTCAGCCCATTCCTTATCTTGTTTTTGCCACTGTACAGGGGGACCAGAGATGACTAGGTAGCCTCCTGGGCGAAGTAACCGATCAACTTCAAGAAAATATGTTGTATCTACAAAGTGCCAAGTTCTCTGTTATGAATAAATGTAGTAGATAACAGAATCTAAGGTAAGAAGGACCTGTGAAATATCAAGAACTCACTATATGCAGTGAAAGGGATCAAGCATCGAGAACAGTGCACCAAATCAAAAGAGAAACCAGGAAATGGAAGCCTGCGAGTGCCGAGCATAGCAACCAAAGCTGGTATTCCCCTTTCCAAAGCAAACTGTATTTGTGATTTGTGTGAATCCCTTGGAGCAAAAGAAAGAGTTAAAATGTCTTCTGCGAGCATGTACCCACCAAAGCTGGCAACCTACAACCACAATGAAAAATATGATATACAGCCAAATATGATAATCAATAGAAGTTGGAAAGAAGGAACAAAATTTATACCCCGCATCCCATATCAAGGGCCGTTCTCAAAATCCCACCAGCTATCGGTATATACTGTTTGAGTTTCTCAATATATTGGACTGCTCCATCCGGGAACATTGTACCACCACCAGGAAATATGAAGTATCGGCCTTCCTTTTTCATCCATCCCTGATGGCCTTTCCTATCAGCTATTTTGTTATAAGGCATGTTATCATGCCATATCTGAACATAAACAACGTAAATGGTCAACTCAAACAACCTGGCAGTGTTAACATAAAGCCCATGTTTGAGCCCCATTTTTACAATAATGCATTTTTCAATTCTCATTTTCAACCACACATTCTTCCATAAAATAATGATACACGTATTTCAAAAACTTTTTTCTTACTTTTTGACCATATTCTCCAAAAAATCAGTATTCCATAACACATTTTTCTCCAAAAATAGGGGTCAAACAGGGATAAAATAAATTGTAGATAAAAGCATGAAATAAAAGTGAACTCGTTAAGTTGCTAAATGCAAATTGAGAAAAAACTTGAGAACAGTTTGTTGAAGGCACTGCCAACTAACGTAAGAATCTGAATGAAGGTGACAAGTATTGTAGCAGAATTTCTTCACTACCTAGTTTCTAGAAATGATCTGTTTCCACTTCCCCTCTTAGGTAATATGAAACAAGCATCCTGTCTAGCGAGTCTGCCATCAATTCATTAGGTGACGACAGACGCAAACAAACAAGAACCAGAATTTTAGAGAATGGGAAGAAGAGATAGAAAAAGGAGAAATGAGAGAAAAAGGGGAAGAAGAGAGGGAGAAGGGGGAGAAGAAAGAGAGTGGGAGAGATAACGATCGAAAAAGAGAAGAAAATTAGAGGGGAAATATCTTGTATTCAATAATTAAAGTCTGTCTTACAATAAAAAAAATCCTATTGCTGCCTATAGATGAATTTGCTAGTAATCAAGGAAATAAAATAAAAGAATACTAGAAAATCATTTTTAGCCCACCAAAAAAATAAATAAATAAATAAAATTCTCTAATTGCTTTTCCTAAAATAAATATCCAAACTTGGCAACGATTCCATTAGAATCTTTGCCTCTATTTGGGAAGAATTTATAAAAATTTATATATTTTTCCAAACAGAGGCTTCACTGATCTCCAACGTTCTCCCGACTGAGGGAACTGACTTTTGAGAGATAAACTGCAACTTTCTTTCAAACCAAGTGTCGACACATAAGAGCACTAATTCATGTGTGACTTTATTAATAAGGTCTAATAAAAGTGTAATCACGAGAGGGGACACACTATGGACTCACAACTCTCACCCACCCCCGCTAACAGCAATAATGTCATCCTCTTCCTAAACTCGAGTATCAAAATTGACTTCCTGGACAAAGAATATGTTGTGGACACGCAAACTCTACAATTTCATTGAAATGACAATGAGGACATAAACTTTGGGTACGAAGGTGGTGGCGAGTGGTAGTTGTGGATGGGTTTGGTGTTGGTGGTTGTACACAACGCCAGGGGGATGGTGGTTATGGTGTGGGTATTATGCTGATTTGTGGGGTAGAGGGAGTTGGGTCTGGTTTTTTTGGTCATGAAAGAGTGAAAGAACTTATAAATAACTTAGTAGCCTAATAATCAAATCAACCGAGTCTTTTTTACCCACGCAGTGAGCTGGAGTCAAGCTCACTGGCTTAATCTGATATTTTATTTTTTATTTCTTGATTCGGTACCTTGCAAACATGTTATATAAAATTACAACCTAACCAATGGAAAATCATTTATTCTCTAATCTTCTATGTTATCCAAATATCACAATCAAGATGAAGGATCGAGCCTGTTTTAGATTACAATGACATTGTTGACATTCCATAATTTTATCGACTATCAAATATATTGAACATAAACAAACATATGAAAGAAATTTTAAGTTTTAATTTAGAGCACAAATGCCTATTTAACGCCATTCCAGGAATTGGATCAATGCATACAGACAATTCTGCACTTGCAACCAACCTACAGACTTTTAACATTGCCATCCAAACAAACAAAATATGATCTCAGAAACAATAGCATGTTGCTTCATAACAAACCAAGTAAAGAAAAATGAAGTAAACTACTTTGAACTAATGGACTAAAAAAATGAAACCATAAAAAAGGGTAACCGTTTCCTATTGAAAGATTCCATTTTTCATGACAAAGGGGGCTTACCCTCAACAACTCAGTTGACAGCAGGGTCTTTGCTATCAATATAATTAAGTCTATAAGCAATTCCTAGTTAAATATTATTTCCTCAGCATTAATGCTGATGACAAACTTATGAAAAGCTAAAAAAATAATGCTATCTAGCACCACTAGTGCTACAACATTGGTGTAGGTAACACAAAATAATAGGTTCAATGAATTAAATGATTTATTTAATTCATTGAATTAAATGATTTATTTAATTACACCTCTCATTTAATGTCAAATTAGCACCACGCACACTGGTGTTTCAACGCCATTGGTGCTAAATAGCATTACTCAAACTAAAAATTGTGGATTTGGCATAATAAGCAGAATACAAATTCACTCTCTCACCACACATTTAGCATTAGACTCACTAAACAAGTGAATCAAATGAGTAAATAACAAAGTCATTCAGGATCAAAGTATTTTTTGAAATTTTAAATGAACTGGCACAACGTACAAAAACAAAAACCAGTTGCAAAATTTACCACCATTAGTACTAAAAGACCTCTAACTTAATTACCAACTATCAGATTTCATTTCTTATGTTTCGGCTCCAAAATGCACTCAGGATACTGAAAATGGTCGAGAAATTATACCAAACTCCCAACTAACTAATTCTACGGAGTAAGTAGCAGTAACTTAACATAGTCACTGATAAGATTTAAACGGATAGATATGGACTCTCCAACAGCTTAAGCTTTTAACGCACCTTATACAAACTTTCCGGCCAGTGGACAGGAATGCGATACCCTTTGGTCGGCGGGATCAAGCAGAGCGGCATTTCTTCCGGCTTTGGGCAATGCCTTTCCCTGTAGTAATTCATTTCCCTGCTAAGCTGACTATTAAGTCTCGGATCTTCACAGGGCATATGATCCACCATATCCGCCGGACAAGATTCAATTTCCACCGCCGCCGTCTGACTCTCCGACTCCAGAAGCGTCACCACCCTCGCCCGTTGCGTAGGATTGTACCCGGAACCGGATGTCCGCGCCCGCCCCGAGCCGCCCAGTGGTGTGAAAACTAACAGGAAAAAGAGCAGCACCGCCGCTAAGAGAGCGGCAGAGAGTATGTCCAGCAAACGCCACTGCTTCGGATTCCGCTTCGAAGATGCCAAATTGAAGCGACCCATTTTTATCTGGAATCTAATTTCGATAATAACGATTTAAGATCTCATTTCACTGATACAAATATCTCTACATATATGTTTACATGTGGGATAATTTGAAGATCTGAAGCTTGGGGACCTTGGGCTTTGTGGCGCGCATATGGAGCAGAGCTGAGTTATTTTTCGTTTTTCTCTTTACAGCGCACATGGCATCGCATGGGCCATGTGTGAAGTGGAATATGTTATACTTAGTGCTTCGGTAGATGTACCATGCTATTGCAATGGTAATGTTAAGAACCGCGAGACGCATTAGTTTCGGTTATGAAGAGAAATTGATCGAACCTAACAAAATACTAATAGAAGCTTCAAATCACGCCAAGTATGCACAATGATAAGTTTGAAATAATCATCTCCGTGTTAATGCGTCTTTTTGTCGATTTAATTCCAATAATTGATACAGAACATATTGATATCAATATTGTACAGTAATTAGGAGTCTCGTGTTATGATAAAATACAAATGGATGGTCGCGATCATTGTCAACCTTGTCAAGAGATGGGGCACGCTCTAGTTAGCACCTTTTAGCAGTGCATTGGTGAACAATAATGCTATTCATCACGCTAGTTTAAGCAATAGTGAACTCTTGATTCATTATTTAATGAATTAAAATGCATTACAACCCTATTGAACAATGAATTAAACGACCACCTAAACTAGCGACGTAGAGCTACATGGAACATATAACGGTCACGGATTCCAAAGATTTTCTGAATTCCTTTGTTATTTTTTTTTTTTTTTTTTTTTTTTTTTTTACAAGGTGTCCGGGCTTGCGTCCAACTAGATCCTTGTCCCTGAACCTCCGGCCCCTCAGCTGCTCAGAGAGGTAAATCGCAGGATGTGCCCTTGTTGGCTCCCAGGTTCCCACAACTCATTTGGACTCCTTCCGCAAAGAGAGCTCTCCTCACTGGGCGTTTGTTCACACCAATGGCTTCCTCTCCATATGGCTCCCAGTGTTAACTCCAGGAATCGAACTCCCCACCCTTGCTTCCAGCGTCCCAGCGAAATGATTGTTCAACCAACTCGGATGTGCCCTGGGGGGCTCCTTTGTTATTGTTGTTATTGTGTGTGTGTGTGTTTTTTTTTTTTTTTTTCCCCCACAATTCTCTCCAACATTTTTAAGTTTTTCATTCTACTCCTCTTTCTGCTTAATTTGCTTTAAGAATTGGTTCTAGTGACGCTAACCCGTCCATTAGGGATCACGAAAGAATTGGAATAAAATAAGATCAATTCTTAAAAAAAGAAATGGATTATCATCCATACTGTTAGCAAATAAGGATTCCAAGAATCTTGAGTAGTACCAATTGTAGTTACCCCCATATTCTCTACACATGGAAGGCAAATAAGAAACCAGAGGATGTAGATGTTGTCCCCTATACCCTCGCAACATGAATTTTTCAATAAAAATGCCATTGACGACCAAATTGATCCATCTCTCCATAAGGGGCAGAGATTCCTCTTTGTGACCAGAAAATAAATTGTTGGTAGTTCAGAGAGTTCGCTCACCATGAGTCCAGACAATTTCATTCGAAATATCCCACCAACAGAATGCTTTTACCTGAGATCATGGATGTCAAATTCTTCACCCGCTGTTCTACATAGATATGCTTCAATGCCATTTGTTCACTTCCACGCCAAATTGGCAACACCTCCACCACCAATTTTTGGAACAAGTTCTGTTCAAAACCCTCTCTTAGTATATCCTCAAAATCTGCATAATCCCCTCTTAAATCCAGTAAGACACTGCATAATCCTTGATGCTTGCAATGTTCCAAAACTGAAATCAGACTTATTTTATCAAAAACTACGGTCTCAATTCCTTTTTGACTTGTTTCTGGCTCTACATTCATCTCTTTCTCGGTGAAGATTATGACTTTAGACGTGGCATCATCAGCAGGATTGGAAGTGTGAATTTGGGAATTTGGATTTCTTGATAACAAAATCTGAAGAGGTTGATTGGCCCCAGGTTCCTTAGATGCAGGAAATGAAGACGTAGAAGAAAGAATGATTGCATCATGTTCTTGCAACAACTTTGAATAGTATCCACCACGCTCTGTGACTTCTTCACCAAGCTGATCGAGAGGATGACCATTGACTGCAATTGAGTACCTATAACGCAATCCTGTATTCAGCTAAACATAGTCTCATGTAGTCTAATAGAAGAAACACAAAACTGGCAAGATAATCAAGCTATCAACAGAGTTCAATGAAAAGGCGATAGTTGGTAGATGGATCAAAATGTAAATGGAAATATTAACAAAGAAGAAGAAATCTAAGCCACCTTTCGGTACAAATTCTTTAAAACTCATTTTCAAAACACTCTTTCAATAAAATAGTTTTGCACATGGACCCACAACTTTTCCCAACTATTTAACGATAGATTCTCCCCCAAAAAAAATCACATTTCTTTCTTCTTAAAAAAATCTACATCAAATAGGCCATAACTCTTATTTATTATGTTGTCCAGTCATGTCTAGGACTATAGGGCAAAGATGCACTAATCACTAATGGTATGTATCTAATATGGGTTGAATAGTTAGCTATAGTATTAAGAAACAAAAAGAAGTTAAGATCTAGTCTATTCTAGTACCGTGAACCAAACATTTCTTCAGAGAGTTGCCATTAGAGATAAGTACCTCAGAGTAACAAAAGGCTTCCCTGTCAGCATTTGATGGATATAGGCTTCATTAAGCTTTCTGCACAGTTCTTCCTCAACTCCCACGGTCACTTCAATTCCTGCATCTCGTAGTTTCCTAATTCCCTTTGAATCTACAATGGCATTGGGATCCACCATACCAATCACCACCTTTTTCACTCTGGCCTTGATTAGTGCTTCGGTGCATGGTGGAGTTCTCCCATAATGGTTACATGGTTCCAAACACACATATGTTGTCCCATTTTCTGCCAAATCCCCAGCATCTCTTAGTGCAAAAACCTGCAGTTTTCTTAGTAAAAATATTTGAAAGCATCTTTGTAAATATATTTGTATGAAAATTAATCTAATTTAATATATTGATTTAGGATTTATGTATAACAGCAACAACTTTCAGATTGGACATCTGTTGCTAAACATCGAATTAGAACTAATATAAGAAAACCATTATTCTTTAATCTTTCAACAATTTGGATCAAACTAATCAAATCTATGATGGAATCAACATTTCATGGTAGCATCTCATTTATATAACTGGGAAAATCCCAACATATCTGAAAGAATAAAAGATATTTAACTCCACCTACAGTTTTCATAGCCGACCCGGTAAAGGAGGAGGCTTGTTGTAGGTTAATGGCCAGTATAAACCTTTCTTAAATTTTATCACGAATTCCTACATAAATTTTGTCGAGGAATCATCTAAATATCTAGTTGGATCTCATTTAGATATAGCAACGAAATACAGCCGATTTCATATTACTTAACGTAGTATCTATAGCAAAAAACATTTGAAATTGAAACAGGTATTCACCCCTTATATACAAGCCAAAGCACAGATGAGTGACATTGCCCACAGGTCCTAAGTAGAATACAATGTCACCAGCTAAAAGCATTTAGCTTCTTACTCAAAACCCCCAAACCATAAAGGTAAAATATATTGCTCTTAACATATATGACAAAATGACAGAATAATAAGTGTACGTTACCTCAGCATGAGGTTGGCCAGCTTTAGGGTGAAACCCTTCACCAACAATTTTCCCATCTTTCACAATCACACACCCCACCATAGGATTAGGGCTGGTGTACCCAATTGCAGTTCTAGCAAGCTCCACACACCTCCTAATATAATACCGATCATCTGGTTCTTGCTCCATCTGTGCTCCTCCTCCACACCTGACCCCACCCAATTTAGAATAATTTCTCAAACTGATTCTTGATTCGAACACCCTTTTGGCTGAATTACAAAACCCAGGTCTCAATTTCGGAGGAAACAAATTTTCACCTCGATTTGCCAGTGGATTGTACAGTACATGTTTTGTTAATGGAAGGGTTTGAGCATACATGCTGAAAGAACGACTGTAAAATAAAATAATGTTATTCTTCGAATTAGAAGAGTTGGTTTAGGGCAGAGGGAAATTTTTCCTAGCCAGCCGCCAGATAATGATTTGTCACAGAAAAATGTGAAAAAAGTGATCGGTTTCTGCTTTCAATTTTCTTACCTTTCATTAGAAGGAGTTAATCCCCCTTTTTGTTTTCGAGTCATTTTCCATTTTTCATTTTTTAAAATATGGAAAACACGTTTGGCAAGTTATTTTCGAAAACGCATTTTTGAAAATAAGAGAAAAATTTTCAAAGAAAACACAAAACGATTTTTTGATATTTTGAGTGTTTTCAGTGCAAATGGCCCAAAACATAGAAAACACTCAAAACACGGTAATTCCTCTTCCACTGTTCAAACTTCAGAAATTTCCCCTCCTCATTATTCCTCTCTCGGCTCTCTCCTTCTACTCACTCTTTCGGCCGCCAAACCACCACCTTCTGGTTGCCAAACCGCCGGGTGCAACTACCATTAGCCTCGCCTCCTTCCCCTCTACAATCTCCAACCAACCACCAGCCACAAATCAACACGAAGCAACCGAAAATCTAGCCTAAAAAATGAATGTCGCAACCTCTTTTCTACCGAAATATCCATCTCTGATGACGCCCACGATCGCGCACCACCAACACTGGATAGCCCTCATCCAGGCGATCAATACCATGTCCTAACATCAATCAATAATGCACTAATTCGTTCTAATGTGTTTCAGTGCAAAGACGACAGTCGCGAACCAACCTGCCAGCTTCGATTCAAGTCCTGGCGATTAGCATCAGTCAAGTATTAATCATGTCCCTACAACAATGGGTAACACTTCAATTTCATCAATTGATGCAGAAATTGTTGCTGGAACGGGAGTTTTCGACCATTCTTTTCATTTGCGAATGGCCTCTTTTGAGCAGAAATTCCGGCCTAATCGGCTGGAGTTAGGGCCAGCTATTGGGTCGGGGTTGTAGATGACATTGCGGGCTTCAAGTTCGTGCTATGATCTGGTGGCCATGGTAGTCGGAAATTGGCGTTTTGGAGGTGGCAATATTGAGATTGAAAGAGAGAACTGTACAAATGTTTTCAAACTTTTTTAAACCAAATATGTTTTCTAATTTTTTGTTTTGAGAAATCATTTTTCAAAATGATAAACCAAACGTGTTTTTTACAATCTCAAAATAAGGCCTCGAAACAGAAAATAGAAAACGAATTCAAAACAGAAAATGGAAAAAAGAAACGCAAAGCTAACGCCCTTAATATCTTAGTAAAACAAAGGTATCATCTGGATTATTATCATTCCATGTATTCACTATTCTTCTAATAATTCTTAATCAACAGATGCCATCAAGATAATTTACAGCTTGTTTGGGAGCGATTTTTTGCCCTAAAAAATTGATTTTTTGACCGTTATTTCACTATTTTAGCCGTCGTATTTGACTTCTTCCCTTACAGATGGACCTTACTTTTCTCCTAACGGTTAAAAAATCAATTCTCAAAATTACTCCCAAACAGACTCTTTAAAAGGTGCTCGATTAGTGCACACTAAGAAAACCAATAACCTGATCCTAATAAAAGTAAAATTCCTATCAACTAAAAAGTATTAAATATCCTACAAATCACCCTCTTTGTCATTAGTGTTTGCGGATTCATTTCCCACTCTTAAGATCAAGGATTGAAGAACGATTTAATAAAAATATATATTTTGATTAATAATCTCTCTTAAATAGTAATTTTTAAAAAAAATTCCGACAGTGTTATTTTGCTAACATTTTACGTTGGAGATTTATTGGAGGATGTCACATCTTGGATGAAGAGAATTAAAAATCCACGAAATTTGCTCTTGGCTTGAAGTGCGTTCGTCATTGTCCGACACCATGTGGGGTAGTTTTCTTCCTTGAGCAGGCAAGTTACTAAAGTTGTCCCTGGATTATCAGATGCAAGAAGGACGTTGGGTGATGAAGTATCATAGTTGGATTGGCTGGTGCTTGAGTTGTTGCTTGAGGCATTGGAAGCCATGGGAAAAGGGCTCTCTTCGGCCATAGATGAAGGTCCTAGGGTTCTTGCTTGGATACCATGATAAAAGGAGGAAAAAGAGACCGCGAACTCTCAATTTTCATTATGGACAGATTGCTGTAATTTATACACAGCAATGAGCCCTTAAATTCAAGATACAAAGTGATATTGTGTTATAAAAAAAATGAATGTATAACAAAATAAATATGGAAAAATATTGTTGAGATATTGCATTTGCTAATGACTGATTTTATTCCATAATGCCATCCAAGATATGATATCGTCCAATTTTCTTGATCGTTGGCACATCCGTCAAAGGAAAGAGAGCAAATGAGGTGACCCACCACCCCAGAATGAGAAGTTGGACTTGTTCCTAGGTTTTAGAATCAAAGATCTTTCAACGCGTTGATTTTCTACTAAGTAAACCGATGACTGGAGGATGAAGTTCATCAGGGGATAAAGATTTTGTTCCTCTAAAGGGAAGAGAAATGTCTTCCCTAGGATATGAGGAATAGAGAACAAAAGCTAATAGGTGTGAGACATACTTCATTCCACCAAAAGGAGAATTGAAGCCCTTAAACCAAAAAAAAGGTTTTGAACAATTCCCCTATTTATTTTATGCATTTCATTCTCTGGAACCCCAGGGTAAATAAAGTTTCGTATAACAGAACCATTAGCGATTGTCGCTCTTGTCTTATCTACTGCATATTGGACGATATCATATCTTGGATGACAATATGGAATAAAATCAATCATTAGTATATGCAATATCTAAGCAATATTTTTCCATATTTATTTTTGTTATACATTCATTTTTTTTTTTTTGGGTAACACATTATCACTTTGTATCTTGAATTTAAGGGCTCATTGCTGTGTATAAATTTAAGCAATCTGTCCATAATGAAAATTGAGAGTTTGCAGTCTCCTTTTCTCCTTTTATAAAGATTGAACCAGTTGACCATAAAGCTAGACTTTATAGGCTTCGTTTGATTCTTATTTTTTCCAAAATATATTTATTATTCTTTCTTTTTTAATCACACATTTTTCATTAAAATAATATTACATGTAAATCAAAAATTTTTTCTTATTTTTAAACACACATTTTCAATTTACTATTGTAAAATGCATTTTTTTCGTAAAAATGGGACTCAAACACCCTCTTAATATGTACAGAATGATAGGGCTCAACTAGATTTTTAAGAATTGATTAGGTCCAACGCTGTAGTTGGATCCTTATAAAGAAAAAATATAAGTTTTTAAAAAACATATTGCAATAAAACACGTTCGTTGATCCAACCAATCACCAATCTAATAATCCAACCACATTCCGTCATCTCCGATTACTATGGCGTCGCGTCCTATAGCCACAATCGTCATTGTCGAGCTCACTGTAATGGCAGCTCAATTGTTCGAAATTCTACGTGCTAAATTTTAGATTAAGACTCAAATTGATGCCAAACATATTGACTACCAATTCAGATATGGTTTTGATGGTGCCATCGAATCGCAAAAGATTGCATTGATTCAGTTGGAAATTTGATAGAAATACGATCAAAATTTATTTGTAAATCAAATTTATGCTCCTTTTTTTTTTAATGTAGGTTATAAGCGCAACAAAACTTGATTATTTTCGATTTTATAAACAATTGGTTCTTCATAGTTATATAACAATTTCATTTTTACTTTTGTCAACCGAAAATCTGGTTAAGAACTACTTATTTTTCTTCTTTAATTCTTTTGTATATTTCTAGATTGTTAGCTTGAGTTTCTACCTTTAGGAAATTTTTTATTCCTCCATGAAAAAGAATTTGGCATCGGTATGTTGGAGGTGGTGGCGGTTGTGCATGGATGGTTCCAGTGAATCATGGTGAACAAAGGTGGGAGAGACACTATGTTGAGTATTGAAAAAATTATATAAGCTATAAGAAGACGAGAACAACACATATTTAAGATGTTTGAAAGATATAATTTTAAAATAAAAAAAAATTGTTTTAAAATTTCAAAAATCAAGTCATAATTAAAATTAATTAATTAATTAGATAATTAAAAATATTTATTGGTTAAAAATATTAAGATCACAATCTTATACTGTTGACATCCGAACTCCGACCTAGTAAAAACATTTCGCTAACCCCAACTCAGTTAAATTTAAGTTCGACCCATACTCCTAGGTCGGTGTTACTTGCCGTTATCTTAGAAAAACATCATGATTACCCCTTGTCACATCACCCTATCAATTAGGTACACTTGCCACAGGTGACGTCATCGCCTCCCGGAACAACCAATTCCAAGTTCTCGAACTCCAACTCCTTGCAGGTCATTATTACCTGGGTAATACATTGACACATGGCCACTAGCCTCATCGACCAATCACAGGAGAATTTGGCGACCTGAGTTTCGAGCTCGGCACTGTTGCTGATTTGACCGATTTAATGTAATTTCGGCTGAAACTATGTATAAATAGTTGAATAAGACTCTTGTAAAATGCAAGTGAATTCACACAATGACTTATGGCATAATCACACAAAAATGACATTTTTGTGGTCTTTTTCAAGCATAAATCGCCTTTTTTCTTAAAATTGGTTCAAAATTATCCTTGCTAATTTTGACATCAACAGTTTGGCACTAGGAGGAGGGCCCCTAATTGTGAAAAATAGTTTCATTCGCTCCGCAAAAATTTCAAGAGCCATGAGTCATAGCTCAAGTTCCAGAAATCCATCTCACACCCACCCTAATGAAATGAATATACCACTGAGTTCTCCACAACGACATGACTCTCAAATAATCGCAATGAGGAAAGCCCTGGAAAAATTGACAAATGCAGTGGGATGACTGGAAAGGAGCCAAGTCCATTCGTCCCCACCAAATACCAAGGTGGATTCCCCTGTAAGGACAAAGACAAAGCGTCCCTCCACCAGGAGAACTCTCCACTTTTCAAGAGAAGAATCATCAAGAAGTCAAACCGACGAGGCCAAAAGCAAGGAACCTGAGGCGAGAAGGACCGCAAGTGTGTTCGACAGATTGGGAACCCATCCCTCCTTGACTCCTATGCAAGGACAAACCAACCTGAAACGTCATTTGGAACAAACAAAACCCGAACTAAGC